ATTCCGACTTTAACGTTACTTTAATAGCAATACAGAATAATTGAGCTTTTTGTCTTAACTAGGCGAATGCGAACTTCTGGTGACCCCCGCAGCCTTGTTACTCAGCTGGGTCTTGTGCCTTGAGAGATATACAACCCTCTTTTAAATCACCTCTCCCCCTGTCCAACCTTCTGCTCTGGGAGTGTTATTCTTGATTCCAGGTCCAAGGCCCCCTCACATCCAGACGCGCAGGGTTGTTTACATCAGCTCCCCCCCTGTGCACGTGTTCTAACTAGCTCGGAATTCCTGAACACACAATCAGTGATGATTCCTGGCTTTCTGTGGTTGTGATTTAGACAAAGGCGCCTCTGTTTTCTTCCATTGCCTTTGAGTCGACACTGCCCTATTATTTGCCCATGTGCTGAGGTCATAGAATTCGTTTTGACTTCAGTAATATTAACATTCAGTATTGGATTAGCAAATGGGCAATGGTTCATTGATGTAGCTCGCAGCCTGGTCTCCAATTTGAGCGAGCGCGAGGATCGATAATTTAGCCTACTCTGTTGTTGAATTTCGAATTTTGACGTTACTTTAAAACCATGCAGGATGATTGGGCTTTTGCCTTAACTATGTCTGGCTGACACTCCCACTGTCTCTGCCGCCTGCACGGGTGACATGTGCCCGTTCATCAGGCCTTATCTTCCCTTGAAGCAAGGTTGTAAATTCTGCCATCCTAGCCCTCCTCCGGTTCATTACTTAACAACACCTGGTGTTTTGCAGTTTGCTGCGCTTGGTGTGTTTCACTCATTAAAAAAAACAAGTAAAAAGATAATATATAAAAATCATCAAATATTATTAATCTCAATTATGGAAGAAGGGTTAGGATACAACATTCCGCCCTTTTAAAAATGACCAGTGGTCAAATGGCCACGGGTTATTTTTAAAAATATGTATACCCTTCTTCCATCATGAACCATCGATTGTCCTCAAGTTTTGCTGCTATTCCTTACAACGCGCGCGTACGTGTCACAACTTAACATGGTTATATTTGAATTGAGCAAAGAAAATTAAACAAGCGTTAAACATCGATATTGCGTTACATCGGTTCTGATACATCATGACTCCGACGAATATTCATTTTTGTTTTTGTTAAATCCTGGGAAACGCTAGGTAGCGGTTTCGAACGCATTTATGCGTTACCTTCCTCATGTTGCCTCGTTCACCACTTATCACTTCGATAATTCGATCACGGTTTTCGGGTTCGTTTTTGTAGTTTCCTCTCTCACTCTCTGTGTCGTGGGAGTGTGTGGTGAAAAATTGTGCTGCACATAACCAGAATTCGCGCACACGACCCACTTTGACCTTGGTTCGAGGCATTCGCTCTCTCTGCGATTACATGCACATTTGCCGAGTCAGTGTGTCGATTTAATTCTGTCCCTCGTAATGTTGCCCTCTTTGGTTTTACTAGTGTGTTGGATTTCAACACCATTCCCGATACGTCATGGACATTCGTCTCCATTTTAGCACTCCGATCCACATAATTTTTGGTTTCCCTTGGATATTTTCCATTCAAAGGCTCATGCCTGCGCTCCTCAGGGCGTGTCAAAAAACAAGTAAAAAGATAATATATAAAAATCATCAAATATTATTAATCTCAATTATGGAAGAAGGGTTAGATACACAGTGGTATGTGGCTGAATGGGTATGTGGCTGAATGGGTATGTGGCTGAGTGGGTATGTGGCTGAGTGGGTATGTGGCTGAATGGGTATGTGGCTGAATGGGTATGTGGCTGAGTGGGTATGTGGCTGAGTGGGTATGTGGCTGAATGGGTATGTGGCTGAATGGGTATGTGGCTGAATGGGTATGTGGCTGAATGGGTATGTGGCTGAATGGGTATGTGGCTGAGTGGGTATGTGGCTGAATGGGTATGTGGCTGAATGGGTATGTGGCTGAATGGGTATGTGGCTGAATGGGTAGGTTAGTGGGTGGCTGCGAGTCAGAGTGTGGAGCCCCATGGTGGCGAGATGTTAACTACCTTACCTTTTGTAAAGGAGGTTGTGGGTTCGGTCTCGATCTTGATGCCTGTATATTTGGAGTTTGCATGTTGTCCTCGTGGTTCATGGATTTTTCTCCGAGACCTCTGGGTTTTTTGTGGCCACGTTGCTTCTGAATAAGATCTGTATAGCTCTGTGGGCCTTGCCTTGTAAAAAACAAAATTTAGTTTACAGTTAGGTGAGTGGGTATTTGAGTGCGTAGGTGGGTGAGTGAGTTGGTGGGTGGTTAGGTTAGTAGGTGAGGGGCTGGGTGAGTGAGTTGTTGGGTTAGATATGGAGTAGGTCATAGTGTGAGTGGGTGGGTTGGTGCGTGAGTTGGTCAGGGAGTGGGTGGGTGCGTTAATGGGTGGGTTGTTGGGTGAGTGAGTTAGTGAGTGCATTTGCAGGTGGGTGCGTGGATGATTGGTTTAGTGAGTGGGTTAGAAATTGAGTGCGTGGCAGGGTGAGTGGGTTTGTGAGTCGGTTAGTGGGTGTCTTTAGTAGTTGAGTGGGTGAGTCAAAGAATTTAGCGCCACGGTGGCAAGATGGTAACTACCTCGCCTACTATACAGAATGTTGTGGGTTCGATCCCGACCCTGACGCCTGTATATTTCACTCCACATGTAGAAACATGTAATAAGAGGAATTGGGTGCAATAAATGTATACAGCGACTTTGTTGAACCATCATTTGTGGCGAGGATGCTTCTGAAAACAATCTTTATAGCTCAGTGGGCCTTACCTGGTAAAAGAATATCTCACATTACCAGAAGAGGTAAGGACTACATATAGAGTGGGTGATTAACTGGGTGGGTCTGTGAGTGTGGGTCAGTGATCGAGGAAGTAGGTGAGTGAGTGTGTTAGAGATTGTGGGTGATAGGGTAAGCCATGGGTGACGTGAGTGGGTGTGTTGTTTGGGAGTGAATAGACGAGTGGTTGGGTGAGTTAGTGGGTGGCTGAGTGGGTGGGTGAATGGGTTTAGAGATTGAGTGGGTGGTGGGTGGTTGGGTGAATGAGTGGGTGGGTGGGTTTGTGAATGGTTGAGGTGAGTGAGTGGGTGGGTCAGCGCATGAGTGGGTGAGAGGTGGGTTGGTGAGTTGGTGAGAGGATTAGTGAATTGGTGGGTTCGAGATTGCGTGGCTGGGTGAGTGAGTCGGTTAGAGATTGAGTGGGTGGCAGGGTAAGTGGGTGGGTTGCTTAATGGGTGTGTGAGTGGGTGGATAAATAGGTGAGTGGACAGGTGCATGGTTTAGTGGGTGGGTGAATAAGTGAGTGGGTGGGTGAGTGCATTGTTGCGTGAATGTGTGGGTGGTTGAGTTTTTGGGTAGATGGGTGTGTGAATATGGGAGGTGAGTTCGTGTGTTAGTGGGTGGGTGAGTCGGAGAGTGAGGCACCATGGTGCCGAGATGTTAACTACCTCGCCCAGTATACAGGAGGTTGTGGATTTTATCCCAGCCCTTCCGCTTGGATATTTGGAGTTTCTATGTTCTCCCCGTGGTCGTGTAGAATTTTCTCCAGGTTGTCCCTCCACATTTGAACATGCATTTATATAATTTGGTTGCAATAACATTCTACGTGAAAAGCCACTTAATTGAACTGTCATTTGTGCTGAGGTGGCTTCCGACAAATATCTATAGCTCAGGGCCTTACCCAGTAAAATGAAAAACAATTAAATATTAGTTTATTGTGTGGATGAGTGGGTGCGTGCGTGTGTGGGTGGGTGCGTGGGTGGATGAGTGAGTGGATGGGTTGATGCGTCGTAGGTGAGTCGCTGAGTGAGTGAGTGGTTGGGTGCATGAGTGTGAGTTAGAAATTGAGTGGGTGGCTTAGTGAGTGGGTCAGTGTATGAATGGCTCAGTAGTTGAGTGAGTGAGTGGGTGATTGAATGAGTGGGTGAGTGTGTGGGTTAGTGGGTGGGAGAGTCAGACAGTGGGGCGCCATGGTGGCGAGATGTTAACTACCTCGCCTGGTATGCAGAAGGTTGTGGGTTTGATCCCGACCCTGACACCTGTATATTTCCCTCCACATTTAAAATCAACAAACATTTATAGGATTTGGCTGCAATACATGTCATAAGCCACTTCGTTGACCTATAATTTTTAACCAGGTCATTTCTGAAAAAGATGTTTAGCTCTGTCGGCCTTACCTGGTAAAATAACCACAATTTAGATTTAGTTTAGTGTGTTGGTGAGTGGGCGGGTGAGTGCGTGGGTGGGTGGGTGAGTGGGTGAGTGGCTCGGTGGTTGAGTTAGTGGGTGGTAGTGGGTGGTTGAGTTAGTGGGTGGTGGAATGTTTTGGTGGTTGAATTATTGGGTGGTTGAGTGATGGGTGGGTGGGTGAATAATTACGTGGTTAGTGGGTGAGTTGCTGAGGGAGTGGTTGGGCGAGTGGGTGGGTTAGAAATTGAGTGGGTGGCATGGTGAGTGGATGTGTATGTGACTGGGTGAGTAGGTGAGTGGCTGGGTGAGTATGTGAGTAGATGGTTATGTGGGGAGTGAGTGGGTTAGTGACTGGGTGAGTTGTAGTTGAGATTGTCAGTTTAAAAGTGAGTTGGTGGGTTAGAGATTGACTGGCTCGGTGAGTGAGTGCTGGGTGGGTTAGTGAGTTGTTGGGTGGGTGAGTGTTAGTGGGTGGATGATCGACTGGGTGGGTGGTTGAGTGAGTAGATGGGTGGGTGGGTTGCAGTGACGTGTGGTGAGGTCAATGGCTGGGGAGGCACTGGCTTGTGTCAGAGCCAGATTCACACACTGAGGGGGACGTGGCCTCACGGAGGGGGGCGTGTTAGATGCATCCCCCTCAGTGAGGCAAATGTGATGGCTACCTCCCCTGGTGCTTTTTCATTGCAGTTTCATGACGAGACCAGCGAGCCTAAATATCTTTATACACATACGTGAAATAAGTTACCTGGAGTATGGAAGGCGAGGACATGAAATGAAGGGGTCTACAAACATTACATTGGTGACATACTGTGATAGTAACAGGCACGCACTTATTGCCCGCGCTCCATCCAGTAACTGAGGGGTTGCGTAATCAGGGGAGGCTGAGCTCGTCGCTGCCTCACCTCTCGTCTCTTCCTGTATTTGCAGCGGAGCTCCGCAAATTTGGCGATTTTAACTATAAAAGTGGAATCTTACAGAAATGACATTTATAACACAGATCAGTGGAAAAATCTTTTATTTTATTTTATTATTCTCTTTTTTTTACTTTTCGTAACAACTATTGTCATTGGAGTATGACAGGTGAGGCACTGCCTCCCCTGACCGCACGTCCCTGGTGGGTTGGTAGGTTGGTGAGGAAGTGAGAGGGTTAGTGGGTACGAGATTGAGTGGGTGGCTGGCTGAGTGGTTGAGAAGATGGGTGTGCGATTTCATGGGTGAGTGAGTCGGTGAGTGAGTGGGTGAGTGGGTTTTTGTATGGGTGAGTGCTTCAGTGGGTTCATGAGTGAGTGGATGGGTTATTGAGTGAGAGGGTGGGTATTTGAGTAAGTGGTGTGCGTGAATAGGTGAATGGGTGGGTGTTTGAGTGAGTGAGTCAGAGAATGGGGTGCCACGGTGGTGAGATGGTAACTACCTTGCATAGTATACAGGAGGTCATGGAATTGATCCCGACCTTCCGCCTGTATATTTCGAGTTTGCATCTTCTCCCTGTGGTCACGTGGATTTTTCTCCGGGTCCTCGGGGTTTTACCTCTGCATTGAGAATAAACTTGCATTCAGAGGATTTGGCTGCAATGCATGTATATGTGATAAGCCACTTTGTTTACCTGTAATTTGTAACAAGGTCGCTTTTGAAAAAGATCTATATAGCTCTGTGGGCCTTAGCTGGTACAATGAGAAATAGTTCAGTTTTCGTTTATTGGGTGGGTGAGTGGTTGGTGGGTGATTGATTGAGTGGGTGGTTGGGTTGGTGGGTGAGTGTTTGAGTTAGAGAGTGGGTGGGTGGATGGGTGGGTGTGTGAGTGGGGGAGTGAATAGGTGAGTGGGTGGGTGAGTGGAGTCTAGAGTGAGTGAGTGAGTGGGTTGGTGGGTGGGTCGTTGAGTTAATGAGTGGGTGTGTAGGTGGGTGCACAGGTATGTTCTTGAGTGGCTGTGTGTGTGCATGAGCAAGTGAGTTAGCAGTTGAGTGGGTGGCAGAGTGAGTGGGTGAGTGTGTGTGTGTGGGTGGCTTTTGTAGTTTAGTGGTTGGGTGAGTCAGATAATGAGGCGCCACAGTGGCGAGATGGAAACCCCCTCGCGAAAGCCGACGTGTTAAACTGGTATATTGGAATTCGTAGGTTTGACCCCAACCCTGATGTCTGTATATTTGGAGTTTGCATCTTCTCTCGTGGTCACGTCGATTTTCCTCTGATTCCTTCGGGTTTGTTTAACACGTAGACTTTCGCGACCAATATCATACATAATAGAGGTTTCTTTTTTTTTTAGATTTGAAGCTTTCGTGACTGCATATTCTAAGGTTTTTTTCAGTAAAGTCACGTAGGTAAAACATTAAAATTAATAAAAGTAAAATAAAATAAAAATCACGACGTTTCGGAGGCAACACAAGCTTCCGTCTTCAGGTGGAACCGTCACAGCCACGACAGCTGTATCAAGTAAATGAGAGATTGCAGGAGCTACCACTCCGTTTTTATAATGGTTGGAGAGGGGGGGGGGGCAAGTACAGCACACTTTTTATTAATATGGTAAGGTGAGGCTTAAGAGGGTGAGCCTTTGTTATGGAGAGGTACGGTTTGTGACTCAACCTGTGACAAGGAGACAACAACTAAACATGGTAAACCTGCAATAGTTGTCTGTCAAATAAGATTGGCCAAATAAGTGTAGTTAAATCTTTTTTGCATGGTTAATCACATCTTTCCAATGATTACTCAGTTTGTAACCATCATCACGGTTGAAATTATGTCTGTGTTTGTATATTTGTATGGCTTCGTGTACAAACCTTTGATGGTAGCCAGGAGGTTTGCAGAGAACCTTGGTCTCGGAAAAGACAATTTCATGAGAGCCCACCGAGTTGTAGCAATGATCGGCAACGGCCGAAGAATCAGTTCTGCCGTGTTTCAGATCTGACTTGTGCTCGCGGACACGATCAGAAACATGACGTTTCGTTTCTCCAATGTAGCAATCACCACAAATGCAACTCAATTTGTAGACTCCAGGATACTGTAAGTCAGGAACGACATCCTTCACAGATGGAATCAGATCACGGATTTTATGCACTGTACTGAATCGGACTTGGATCTTATGTTTGTTTAGAATTTTGGAGATCTTTTTGGTCACGCATGCTATGTATGGTAACGTGATAGTTTTGGTCGGAGTTTCATGTGGCTGTTTCTGTGTGGTGGGAGAAACAGCTTGGCAGATAATGCGGTCAGAGTATCCGTTCATCCTGAGGGCCCGATGTACATGTCTTAATTCACCGGCCAGGTGGTGTTGGTCAGAAATGCCATGGGCTCTGTGGTATAGCGTTTTGATGAGAGAATTCTTTTGAAATGGGTGGTGGGGCGAATCCGGTTTCAAGTAGGAATCTGTGTGGGTGGCTTTCCTGTAGACAGAATGTCCCAAGGATCCGTCAGGCCTCCTCTCAAACAGAATATCCAAGAATGGTAGTTTACCGTCTTTCTCCACTTCCATGGTGAATCTGATGGATGGGTGTCTAGAATTGATGTGGTCCAAGAAGTGGTTCAATGCTGGGAGGCCATGTGGCCAGATGACGAAAGTGTCATCCACATACCTCTTCCACAGGGAAGGACGCAGGGTGGATGTCTGGATGGCGTCTGATTCAAACTTTCCCATGAACATGTTGGCTATAACTGGTGACAAGGGGGAGCCCATAGGGGTACCCTCATTCTGTTTGTAGAAGGTGCCATTCCAGGTAAAATAGGTGTTGGTGAGGCAATGCCTAACCAGCGCAGGTACATCAGAATTCAATCCATGTTGGACTAAGTCCTCAATTATTGTTAGGGTGTCCGGTACTGGGACTTTGGTGAACAAAGATACTACATCAAAGCTGACGAGGATGTCATCAGGAGATAGTACCATGTCCTTAACCATAGAGACTAATTGGGTTGAGTTGAGTACTGCCGAAGAGGTCTTGCCTGTGAAGGGGAGCAGAGTATCTGATAGAAAACGGGCTAGTTTGTACGTAGGAGAGTTTATCATCGACACGATGGGTCGTAGCGGCGTGCCTTCTTTATGGATTTTGGGAAGACCATAGAGTCTGGGAGGTCTAGCCGCCGATGGTTTTAGAGAGGGACGTTTGCTTGGTTCGATTAGGGAAGTCGAACTCGTGATGATACTGTTTCTCAGATTGATGTAGCCCTCAGAGGCATAGGACACATCCATGCAGATGTAGCAAGAGCTGAAATAGCTACTATTCTTAAGAATGCTACGAAACCCACTAGTAACATCAGCAAAAACGAACGCTCTGAACTCGCGGACCTAAAAAAGAGAGATGATATAGTCATCCTCTCGGCAGACAAGGGCACGGTCATCATGGATAAAGATTCATACAACAACAAAATCCTGGACCTTAATGATGGGAGTTACTCCAAAATTAAAAACGATCCCACTAAAAGCCTAACGACAAAAACCAACAGTATCATCACGAGTTCGACTTCCCTAATCGATCCAAGCAAACGTCCCTCTAAAACCATCGGCGGCTAGACCTCCCAGACTCTATGGTCTTCCCAAAATCCATAAAGAAGGCACCCCGCTACGACCCATCGTGTCGACGATAAACTCTCCTACGTACAAACTAGCCCGTTTTCTATCAGATACTCTGCTCCCCTTCACAGGCAAGACCTCTTCGGCAGTACTCAACTCAACCCAATTAGTCTCTATGGTTAAGGACATGGTACTATCTCCTGATGACATCCTCGTCAGCTTTGATGTAGTATCTTTGTTCACCAAAGTCCCAGTACCGGACACCCTAACAATAATTGAGGACTTAGTCCAACATGGATTGAATTCTGATGTACCTGCGCTGGTTAGGCATTGCCTCACCAACACCTATTTTACCCGGAATGGCACCTTCTACAAACAGAATGAGGGTACCCCTATGGGCTCCCCCTTGTCACCAGTTATAGCCAACATGTTCATGGAAAAGTTTGAATCAGACGCCATCCATACATCCACCCAGCGTCCTTCTCTGTGGAAGAGGTATGTGGATGACACTTTCGTCATCTGGCCACATGGCCTCCCAGCATTGAACCACTTCTTGGACCACATCAATTCTAGACACCCATCCATCAGATTCACCATGGAAGTGGAGAAAGACGGTAAACTACCATTCTTGGATATTCTGTTTGAGAGGAGGCCTGACGGATCCTTGGGACATTCTGTCTACAGGAAAGCCATCCACACAGATTCCTACTTGAAACCGGATTCCCACCACCACCCATCTCAAAAGAATTCTCTCATCAAAACGCTATACCACAGAGCCCATGGCATTTCTGACCAACACCACCTGGCCGGTGAATTAAGACATGTACATCGGGCCCTCAGGATGAACGGATACTCTGACCGCACTATCCGCCAAGCTGTTTCTCCCACCACACAGAAACAGCCACATGAAACTCCGACCAAAACTATCACGTTACCATACATAGCAGGCGTGACCAAAAAGATCTCCAAAATTCTAAACAAACATAAGATCCAAGTCCGATTCAGTGAAGTGCATAAAATCCGTGATCTGATTCCATCTGTGAAGGATGTCGTTCCTGACTTACATTATCCTGGAGTTTACAAATTGAGTTGCATTTGTGGTGATTGCTACATTGGAGAAACGAAACGTCATGTTTCTGATCGTGTCCACGAGCACAAGTCAGATCTGAAACACGGCAGAACTGATTCTTCGGCCGTTGCCGATCATTGCTACAACTCGGTGGGCTCTCATGAAATTGTCTTTTCCGAGACCAAGGTTCTCTGCAAACCTCCTGGCTACCATCAAAGGTTTGTACACGAAGCCATACAAATATACAAACACAGACATAATTTCAACCGTGATGATGGTTACAAACTGAGTAATCATTGGAAAGATGTGATTAACCATGCAAAAAAGATTTAACTACACTTATTTGGCCAATCTTATTTGACAGACAACTATTACAGGTTTACCATGTTTAGTTGTTGTCTCCTTGTCACAGGTTGAGTCACAAACCGTACCTCTCCATAACAAAGGCTCACCCTCTTAAGCCTCACCTTACCATATTAATAATAAGTATAACCCGTAAAAACAAAGTTTTTCACTATAAATCCTTTATATGTGTGGCAGCGAACTTAATATAAAGGATTTAAAAATATATTCGCCTGTGGAGGACGCGGGGATCGATCCCGCGACCTTTGGCATGGGAAGCGAGGGCGCTACCAACTGCGCTACTCCGCCACGGCCTGTGGAGGGGTTACGCTCTGGGCTCTTATACTGTGACGTTCAGCCAAAGCCAAGAATGAGTTCTTTTGAATATATGTAAAATATTATTTTTTTGCCTAAAAAGTGTAAAATTTTGGGAATTTTTTTTCACGAACATTAATTGTCTGGCACAACGAGTCTGTGTGGAAAATGTCAGCTCGATTGGATCATGGGAAGTGGGTTAAAAAACGACCGAAAGATTTGCACGGTCCTAAGCAAGCAAGCAAGCACGCAAGCAAGCGAACTTAATATAAAGGATTTAAAAAGTGTGCTGTACTTGGCCCTTCCCCCCCCCTCTCCAACCATTATATAAACGGAGTGGTAGCTCCTGCAATTTCTCATTTACTTGATACAGCTGTCGTGGCTGTGACGGTTCCACCTGAAGACGGAAGCTTGTGTTGCCTCCGAAACGTCGTGATTTTTTATTTATTTTACTTTTATTAATTTTAATGTTTTACCTACGTGACTTTACCGAAAAAACCTAATAATAAGAGGTTTCTTTTTTGGGTTAGATCGCATAAATATATAAATGTGTCGTTAAAACCCACCACCACCCGACACAGCCAACTAGTAAGGGTTGTCACGTACGCAGAACATGCCAATTTGTAACTAGTACAACTCACGGTGTGTTGGAGAGTCAAGCCACAACATTTACAATCTGAGTACGACGTTTCGCCAGTAATTACAACTAGCTTCATTAGGCAACAGCCAGATTTGTGGAGACATTCACCTGTTTCGTTCCTTATATAGAGGCGTAGATGTGGTGCCTGTTTTTATCATTTGCCTGTTATCATTCGCCTGTTATTAAGTTAAAGTAGAAATTGTTATTATTGTTGTAATCACGTTATCAGTATAGAAATAATTGTTATTATGTTAAAAGTAGAAATAATTATTGTTATCAAGTTCTAAGTGGAAATAATAATTACTGTTCTCATTCGCCTGTCGTTATCATTTGCCTGTTGTTATTTTTCGCCTATTGTTATCAAGTTAGAAGTAGAAAGTTATTATTATTGTTATCATCCGCCTGGTGTTGGTACTGCACGTCTCTAATCCAGCACTGTGGAAGGTAGCGAGGGCTGGTGAATCACCGCACAATGATGTTGGCAAATCCCCTTCCCGTGGGTGTCGAGGTGCCATAACCTGACTCGCCAGGAGAAGGCAGTAGAGCAAGTGGACTAATCGCCATCTTCACCTGTACAGGGATAGAGTGTTTCACCCTCGCACGCATGGGTTTTCTCCGGGTACTCCGGTTTCCCCCACTGGTATAAACACTCGTCATTAATTAGCGCATAATGCCTCCATAGAGGACCGCAGAGCTTGGACAATTGTTGGTACTGGCTCACCACGTGGCTTCCTTCCTGCACGGCTGTGGTTCCTCATGCCTCTGAGTCGTTCTTGTGCGCGCTATAAAACTTTTAATTATTACTATTATTCGCCAGGCGGTGGTGTTGCAAGCCTGTGATCCAGCAGTGGAAGGCAGCAAGGGTGAGTGGATCACACAGTGAATGTTGTGAAACCCCCTTCCCGTGGGCATCCAGGTGCCTTCTCCTGGCTGGCTGGCCAGGAGAAGGCAGTACAGAAAGTGGGATAATCGCCATCTTTGCCTATACGGTTTAAAGTGCTGCCCCACGGGTTTTTTCCAGGTGCTCCGGTTTCCCCCACTTGTGTAAGAACTCATCATTCATTCGTCGAAAACTTAAAAAAAAACTATTCAGGACCCGACTGTGACTCAGTGTGGTTTTCCTGGAGTAAGTCTATTTTATTATTATAAAGAATTAAAGGGGCTGTTTAATGACACGACTAGAGAGCTGGCTTGCACTGCGAGGAACTTAATATTCAACTTGAATTCCGCAACCCTCAATGGCCTTTTTAAGTTAAATTTGTGCATGTAAGACTCGCACAAACAACCATACCCAGAAACCCATAGACCCCAACAGAGACCCATACATTCCTACAAACACTCAGACTCACACAGCGACCCCATACTCACAGAGACCGATAGACATGCACAGAGACCCATAGCCTCACACAGAGATCCATACACTCAAAGGCCCAAAAACTCACACAGAAATCCATAGATTCGCACACAGAGATCAATAGATTTTTAATTTGAATATTTATTTATACTGGATGAATCTGATGAGCTATAACGATCTGTTTTCACAGACGTCCAATCGGGTGGGTCAGAAAATAACAACAAATATACAATACAAAAACATCACAGGAAAGGTAAACAAATTGTTTCGAAATATACTAATTAAACTGAACTCTTTTTATCTTACCATAGACTCATACAAACATGTTGGACTCGCACAGAGACCTTAACCACTAAACCTCGAACAATTAAAACCCTCTAAACCCCTAACTATCTAAATCCATAACCATCTAAACCGCTAACCCTCTCAACCCCTTTACCCTTACAACCCTAATCTTTAAACCCCTCGCCCTCTAAAAGCTTAACCTCTAAACCCCCAAAACTCTAACCATCTCAACCCCTAACCCTCTAAATTCCTATACCCCTAACCCTCAACCCCTTTACCGTTAAAACCCTAACCCACCAAAACCCTCACTCTCTAAACCCCTTATTCTTTTAACCCTAACCGTCTAAGCCATTAAAAACCAAACCCTCTAAACCCTCTGAATCCCTAACCCTCTAATCCTTGAAACCCTAACCTTCTAAAACCCTAAATCCCTAACATTCTAAATACCAACCAATCTAAACCACTACCCTCTAAAGAACTAACCCTCTAGACCCCTAACCCTCTGAACTCATAACCTCCTAAATCCTCAACCTCTAAAATCCTAACCCTCAAAACCCTAACGTTCTAAAAACCTAAATCTGTAACCTAATCCTAACACATTTAAACCCCAACCCTCTAAAGAACGAACCCTCTAGAAGCCTAACCCTTAAAACACCTATGCCCCTAAAATGCTA